CACCGCTCCCTCCAGCACCGCTTCCCCCCCCACCTCCCCCACCTCCTCCCCCCCCAGCGCCACCACCACCACCCTTGCCCCCCTTGCCCTTGCCGGTGCGGCGCCTCCCACCAGGAGCAGAAGCAGCGCCAACAGACTCAGCACCAAGGAAGTCAACAGCAGCAGCAGCAGCGTAGGAGGGAGCGAGGGGAGAGGGAGAACACCCCTCAAAGGTGGGGGTGCGAGGAGCGCCACGAGCAGCACCAACAGCTACAATGCTCTTTTCGGCCGCGAGCAGCTGCTCCTCTAGGAGGGCGACTGTGAGCTCAGTGGGACAGCGAGCAAGGAAGTGGTCTCGAACTGAGCGGAGGGTGTCAGGGAGACGGGTGACTATGAAGTGGAGTGTCCAGTACAGTGGAGGGGGGTTCTTAGCGCAGAACTCGGTGGGAAGGGCGGCACGCAGGCGAGCATCACTAGTGCGAAGGTGGGTGATAAGATCGGCGACTGTAGTAAAGGTGGACAGATCGGGGAACAGGTACGGCAGCATGAGGCGGCTAAGCTCGGCTGTGGCAGGCGAGGAGTAGCGAGCAACGACAGCATCGTACAGGGCCTTAGCGGATTCGCAGTCGCCAAAATGCTCGAGCTCAGCTAGCGGCAGGTGACTACGAATGGCTAGGCGAGCAGCTGCGTCACGAGTCTGCCAGTGGGAACGAACACTAAGCTCGGCTGTGGCAGCAGGAGCAGCGGCAGCACCAGACGCGTAGTCATAGAGGGAGATGTGGTCCGTGCTATTGCTCATAAGATACAACTGCAGGTCGTCGAGCCAGGAAGTGAACTGCACGGGACGGCCCTCAGCATCGAAGGAAAGAACGCGAATAGAGGCCATAGCTCAGGCGTGAGGGCACAGCAGAGCAGCGGCAGCAGCAGAGGGGACGCAGCAAGCGGGCAGTGAGGCAGCGGGCGGCGCTGCGAAGCAGGTAGCGGGCGGGCGGGCGGCGCTGCGAGCGGGCAGCGAAGCGGGCGGGCCGCGAAGCGGGCAGCGAGCGGGCGGGCGGGCTGCGAAGCGGGCAGCGGGGCGAGCGGGCTGCGAAGCGGGCGGGGCGCGAAGCGGGCAGCGAGCGGGCGGGCGGGCTGCGAAGTGGGCGGGCCGCGAAGCGGGCAGCGGGGCGAGCGGGCTGCGAGGCGGGCGGGCCGCGAAGCGGACAGCGAGCGGGCGGGCAGGCTGCGAAGCGGGCGGGCCGCGAAGCGGGCAGCGAGCGAGCGGGCTGCGAAGCGGGCGGGCCGCGAAGCGGGCAGCGAGCGGGCGGGCGGGCCGCGAAGCGGGCAGCGAGCGGGCGAGCGGGCTGCGAAGCGGGCGGGCCGCGGAGCAGGCAGCGAGTGAGCGGGCTGCGAAGCGGGCGGGCCGCGAAGCGGGCAGCGAGCGGGCGGGCGGGCTGCGTGGCGGGCGGGCCGCGAAGCGGGCAGCGAGCGGGCGGGCGGGCTGCGAAGCGGGCAGCAGGACGAGCGGGCTGCGAGCGGGCGGCTCGGCGGGCGGGCAACACTGCGAGGGGCGCGCGAGGGCGCTAGTGAGGGGCGCGCGAGGGCGCTAGCAAGGGGCGCGCGAGGGCGCTAACGAGGGGCGCGCGAGGGCGCTAACGAGGGTGCGCGCGAGGGCGCTAACGAGGGGCGCGCGAGGGCGCTAACGAGGGCGCACGAGGGCGCTACGAGGCTAGGGCACGGGGTAGCGTGGTAACCGCATGCGAGCGGTGGTGGGCCCTTAAAAAAAAAAAACGGTCGGTAGGTCCTAGGGACCTCCTGCTCTGAATACCATTTCAGAATAGCTAGGCAAGAATGGTTGAACTAGCAGAAGTTTGGGTACAAATATGAAACCCTAGTTGGGGTTGTACCCCACTACAGCCTACAAGCATAATACAGTTTAACATAACTGACTCCCACCATTACGTAGGCCTTGTTCGATAGCTTTGCAGTCCAGGGGAACCACAGCCCTTTCACTGTGTTGCATGGCTCGGTAAAGGCTCGGCAGCTGTGAACATGGGCTTTAAAGCCTATGAGAGGTTAGGCAGATCCAAACCAGAACCAAAAGTACGTTCGGTACACCTACGAATCTGGTGTGGTAATTTTCGCTGCGGACCGCGGTCCAAACACTGTTGCCCACTGGTCAAGCAACAGTACTTACCAAGCAAAAAATACTTGGTTTCCGCTGGCAGCAAGAACGACAGTCACTGTGAAGTTGTTAACATTTCGGGCAGAAATGGTCTAATAGAATTTGTACCCGGAAACTTCGGGTGTACATTTCCCACCTAAAGCAGTTCATCAATGAATTTTTTGGTCGCATTTATGGTCGAGGGTACACTGGGATTTGAAATTCTCATCTATTAATTACCTAACAGTAAGTTCAACACGTGTTATTTTGGAATTTTGTGTCACGTTATTTCGTATCTGATTTTGCTAAGATCAATTGAATTGCGCACTGTGTACGCTTGTTTTATCCGTTGACTACGCGGTTCTGACTGTTGCGACTTGGGCTGTTCGGGCAGACCCCTAAACCAGGCCTCTGGATAGGATTTGGGGTACTCTTCCTCGTAAGGCCAACACCCAGCTGTTACTCTTTCAGTAAGGGTGCTTCACAGGAACTGCTCATAAAAAACAGGGTGCAAACAAATTAAAGAAACTGTCTAATAATTTTGCTGAGCATACTATGTAGGGTGTTAGTGTTGCAGTGTGTTGAGTCATTGTTGTTATGTGGAGGACCCAAGTTCGACACCTATCGGGTGCATACGCCGTAGGAAATGTGTTTTACGCTACCAATCCTGGTATCCTCACTTAGATCGAACTCGATTTCATCAGTGCTACTACACCACATAGCTCTGAAATATCAGTGTCATACAATCGATCACCCTTTTTGGTAAGGGTCGAAAACAAAACCAGTCTTGTAAAAAAGGGTGCATCGTAAAACCCACCCTTATAGTAAGGGTCATAAGGGTGAATCACTCTGATATCGAGAGGCCAGCCCTAAACTTTAAACCAAGTCAAGTTGCATCTGGAAGGTAGTGACCCCAGGTTCTGAAACCCTAGGCCGACTCGGCAAACCTTTGGTAGGGCTGTACAAAAGAATGCAGTGCAATCGAACAAGGCCGTAGGTAGGCTACTACTCTCACCTGCGAAGTGAGCCATCGTCACAATCAGCACACCTTCTTCAGGAGAAAATAACATCTCCACGTGTTTCTTGGGTTCATCTGCTGTAGACAGCTGGCCATGTTCAGCCTTGTGATGTCTGAGAGCTTTGAGGCATTTGAAATCATCTCTTTTTGTTCACCCAGATTCCCACCCTAAAGACTTTTGAGCCGAGGAAAAAGAATGTGAAAGCGGTGCGAGAATAAGTCCTGAATCCTTATACAATAAATCCGTAAACGATGGCAAGTACAGACGCTACCATGGCTGCTGCTGGAAGATAAGAGGCATGTCCCAGATCTGAACCTTCGAAGCCTGGAGAGCAGACGGTATGAGTTAAGAGCACCGCAATGACAAAGGTTCACGCAGGTTTGGTAGAGAAGAGGAGCGGTGATCAGTGATAACTTGAAGGTTGTGGGTGATCTATAACATCAAGGTTGTGGGTGATCTATAACATGAAGGTTGTGGGTGATCTATAACATGAAGGTTGTGGGTGATCTAAAACTTGAATATTGTAGCCTGCAGGTGATGAAGCAATGAGCGACTGAATGAAGGTGGGTGGGCTAGTGGGCTAACAACAAGGCTCCCAAGGCTCTCAAAAGGAGCTGCTGAGATGCACATGGGTGCACACAGAAAGCCGGTGTGAGCCATGCCGTACCACCATGCCACACGATGCGCGCCACGTCAGCATTATGCGCGCCACGTCAGCATTACGCGTGCTTGTCTCCCTCCCTGCAGCGTTTGGTGCCTCTGAAGCGAATCGGCCCTTGGCACCTTAGATGTGTGCTCGTTTCAAGCTAAGCATCAGATTCTCATGCATGGTTCCACACTTGTTAATCTACTCGAGTAACATCAATGGGATGGGATGGGATGGGATGGGATGGGATGGGATGCGATGGAATGGGATGCAACGTGGTGAGATGTGGCGGGATGCGATGGGATTGCTCTTGGGTGTGTTCCAGCGCTGCCGCTCCCAGGTGCAGAATGTCACGGCGAGAAGGAAACGGCACACTGCACACACACATGCGGGCACATGCAGTCACATTCGATCACATTCAGTCACATGCGGTGACATGCGGTTGACAAAGGCAGCACAGGAGAGAAGGAGATCAAGATCAGGTAATAAAGGAACCGTGATAAGAAGGGTGCAAGGAGGGACCACAGCAGGAGAGAGTGGAGGGAGAGACCGTACAGGGAAAGAAAAAACTGAATAAGGGCGTGAAACATCAGGAAATACTTCCAAATGGTACGTTTGAAACGATTTGCATTGTGTGACCCTCAACAGAGCGCCCCTCCCCTCCCCTCAATCAACCAACGTGATGCTACTCCGCTCCCCTCGCCCCTTCAGTCACCTCTAGGCTCTCCACAGACCCCCTCGGGGCACCAGCAGCAGCAGCGTCGCCCCTCTGCTGCACCTCGCTGCGGCACAGCCGCCCCTACCCCCCCTTCCCTGCCCCACACGCCCATTCCCTTGCCCCCTCCCCAGCACACATTCCCGTGCCCTTCTCCAGTCAAACTCACCTTCCTAGTCTTCTCAATGGGGCATTCTCTCGCGAGCTTTGCCCCTTCGGCCACCTCCAGGCTCTCCACGGACCCCCTCGGAGCACCGGCAGCAGCAGCGTCCACAGCAGCGGCAGACTCACCTCTCTGTTCTTCTCAACGGGACACTGTCTGGCCAGCCTGGCGCCTTCAGTCACCTCTAGGCTCTCCACAGACCCCCTCGGGGCACCGGCAGCAGCAGCATCCACAGCAGCGGCAGCAGCGTCGCCTGTCTGCGGCACTGCTTCCCTGCCTGCCTAGAGCCCGTTCCCTCCCCCCTTCCCAGTATACACCCCCTTGCCCCACCTACACTAACGCCTTGCGAGGCCAATCAGACTCACCTCTCTGGTCTTCTCAATAGGACACTCTCTCGCAAGTTTCGCCCCTTCAGCCACCTCCAGGCTCTCCACAGACCCGCGCAGGGCACCACCAGCAGCAGGGTCCACAGCGGCGGCAGCAGCGTCGCCTGTCTGCGGCACCTCGCTGCTGCACTGCCGCCCCCCACACCCTCCCCTAGCCTCACACACCCATTCCCCTGCCCCTTCCCCTGCACACAGTCCTTCCCCCACCACCCCCGCCTTCCCCCTTTCCCCCTTTTCTCACCTCCCTAGTCTTCTCGACAGGACACTCTCTGGCGAGCTTTGCCCCTTCGGCCACCTCTAGGCTCTCCACGGACCCCCTCGGGGCACCAGCAGCAGCGGCAGCAGCGTCGCCTGTCTGCTGCACTGCCTCCCTGCCTGCCTAGAGCCCGTTCCCCTCGCCCCTCCCCAGTACACACTCCCTTGCCGCACCCCACCTACACTAACCCCTTGCTTGGCAAATACAACTCACCTCCCTATTCTTCTCAATGGGGCATTCTCTGGCCAGCCTCGCCCCTTCGGCCACCTCTAGGCTCTCCACGGACCCCCTGGGGGCACCGGCAGCAGCAGCATCCACAGCGGCGACAGCAGCGTCGCCTGTCTGCGGCACCTCGCTGCTGCACAGCCGCCCCGCCTGCTTGAGACTTGAGAGACCCGGGAAGCGGTTGATCCGCGCCTGGGAGTTGGCGTTGAGGGGGGTGCTGCCCTTGGGGGGTATGGGGTGGTGCAGTGAAAGCAGGGACACCTGGCGATAACAGGGGACACGGGAACAGAAAGAGGCAAGTTCTAGACCAAGTGAGAAACCAACAACAGCAGCAGCATCAACAGCAGTGGCAGCAGCGTCGCCTGTGTGGCAGCAGCGTCGCCTGTGTGGCAGCAGCATCGCCTGTGTGTCACACCTCGCTGCTGCACAGCCGTCCCGCCTGCTTGACGCTTGAGAGGCTGGGAAAGCGGTTGATCCGCGCCTGTGTGTTGGCGTTCAAAGTAGCACCGCCCTTCGGGGGGTATGGGGTGGTCGAGGGCGAGGAGAGACACCTGGAGGAGAAGGGAGGGCATGCGGTGGGGTGAAGGGGGGCAGGGATTACAGTCCAGAGAGGGGCAGAAGAGGCCCTAAACAAATTGAATTGGTTGACTCGCGCCTGTGTGTTGGTGGTGAGAGTGGTGCTGCCCTTGGTAGGTATGGGGTGGTGGAGGGCGAGGAGAGACACCTGGGGGAGAAGGATGGGGTAGGGCGAGGAGTGGGGAAGGGGATGTTGAGCAGCGTGGTGCATGTTGGCATTGAGGGAGCGGCAATCCATTGCATCACGTTCTGCGTGCGCGATGCAATGGATTGAGGGACTGAGGGATTGCTGTTCTGCGTTCTGCATGTTGGCATTGGGGGAGGTGGTGCCATCCTTTCGGGGCGTGGCGTGGTGCAGCGAGAGAGGAGGGACGGGATGAAGGATGGGATAGGGAGTCGAAGCAGGAAGGAAGAGAAGAACAGAAACTGGGGCTTGTGGGGTATGGCAGGGTGCAGCAAGCAAAGGGACTTTTGGGACCGCCCTTCCAGTACTGACCCTCCCGTGAACCCATAACCCGCCCCTGTGACTTTTGAGTCGGCTCAAAAGTAACGAGCCATGCGACATCGGGGGACCGCCCTTCCAGTATTGCCCCTCCCATGAACCCATAACCTACCCCTGTCCCCACCACTCACACCCTCGCTCACCTTTCGCGGGTTGACAATGACTCGCCGGGTCCCTGCATCGCCTTCACACAACGCTGCATCCACCCCTCCTGCCACTCCCCCTCTCCTCCCGCTCACCCTGCGCGCCACACTCCTCCCCACAAATCTCACCTTTCGCGGGTTGACAATGACTCGGCGGGTCCCTGCATCGCCCTCGCACAATGCTGCATCCACCCCTCCTCGTACTTCTGCCGCCCCCCCTGCCGCATCAGCATTACACACAGGAGCCGCCTCTCTAAACACGGCCCTCTCAACCGCAAACACAGCAGCAGCGCTGCTGCTGTTGCCCCTGCCACCCCCATCACCACCAGCTGCATCTGCCTCTCCTGCAACCCCCCCAATCCCCTCCCTCTCCACCTTCACCACATCAGCCTCCCCCAGGCAGACCTCCGTGCTCCACCGCACTGCACCCAGGGAAAGGTAGGGCGAGGCGGCGAGGGAAGAGGCGGAGGAGGCGGAGAGGAGCGAGGGGAGCGTGGCGGGGGGCGAGGCGGAGAGGTATTCGTCGAGGTCTAGGGGGAGGGTCCAGGCGGAGGAGAGGGAGGTGCGGTAGAGACAGTCTTGCAGGGCGAGGATCTGGCTTGGGTGGTGATAGGGAAATGTGGGGTGGCAAAGAAATGTGGGGGAAATGGGAGGCAGGGGGGTGAAAGCGGGGAAGGAAAATGAGTACAAGTTACAAAGGGGAGCGTGGCGGGGGGCGAGGCGGAGAGGTATTCGTCGAGGTCTAGGGGGAGAGTCCAGGCGGAGGAGAGGGAGGTGCAGTAGAGACAGTCCTGCAGGGCGAGGATCTGGAGTGGGGTTGGGAGGAAATGTGGGGAACTGAATTAGTGCGGGGAAGGAAACGGGGGGCGAGGCGGAGAGGTACTCGTCGAGGTCTAGGGGGAGAGTCCAGGCGGAGGAGAGGGCGGTGCGGTAGAGACAGTCCTGCAGGGCGAGGATCTGTGGTTGGGGGGGGGAGAAGGGGGAGGGGGGCGAAAGGGCGGAAGGGAAACGAACGACTTGGAAAACAAAAGGGAGGAAGGGAGGGGGAACGGCTTGGAAAACAAAAGGGTGGATGGGAGGGGGAGAAAGGGCGGAGGAGACGTGAGAGGGAGGTGCGGTAGAGGCAGTCCTGTAGTGCGAGAAAGTGCTGTACAGGAGAAGAGGCACCACTTTTGAGAATTCTCAAAAGAGAAGAGGCACCACCACCACGCGCATCCGTGCATGCACGCACGCACGCACGCACGCACGCACACCCTCCACACCCTTGCAAGTGCATGCATCTTTGCATGCATCTTTGCGTGCATCTTTGCATGTTCCCTGCACCCCACACTCTGGTACAAAAGCCCTTGCACGTGCCCCAACAACATCTGTCACCTCCGCCATCCCCATCTCCTCATAGTCCCCCACTTCCTTGCTTGCCCAGAGCTCATGCACCAACATGCACCCCCCTCATCCCCACCACCCCCCTCATCCCCACCACCCCCCTCATCCCCACCACCCCCCTCATCCCCACCACCCCCCTCATCCCCACCACCCCCCTGGCCATCCTCACCTTCTCCTGTTCCTTCTCCGCCCCAACAATATCTGTCACCTCCGCCATCCCCATCTCCTCATACACCCCCACAGCCTGCCGCAGCTCCGTAGTGCCTCTTGCTGTGCCTCTTGCTGTGCCTCTTGCTGTGCCTCTTGCTGTGCCTCTTGCTGTGCCTCTTGCTGTGCCTCTTGCTGTGCCTCTTGCTGTGCCTCTTGCTGTGCCTCTTGCTGTGCCTCTTGCTGTGCCTCTTGCTGTGCCTCTTGCTGTGCCTCTTGCTGTGCCTCTTGCTGTGCCTCTTGCTGTGCCTCTTGCTGTGCCTCTTGCTGTGCCTCTTGCTGTGCCTCTTGCTGTGCCTCTTGCTGTGCCTCTTGCTGTGCCTCTTGCTGTGCCTCTTGCTGTGCCTCTTGCTGTGCCTCTTGCTGTGCCTCTTGCTGTGCCTCTTGCTGTGCCTCTTGCTGTGCCTCTTGCTGTGCCTCTTGCTGTGCCTCTTGCTGTGCCTCTTGCTGTGCCTCTTGCTGTGCCTCTTGCTGTGCCTCTTGCTGTGCCTCTTGCTGTGCCTCTTGCTGTGCCTCTTGCTGTGCCTCTTGCTGTGCCTCTTGCTGTGCCTCTTGCTGTGCCTCTTGCTGTGCCTCTTGCTGTGCCTCTTGCTGTGCCTCTTGCTGTGCCTCTTGCTGTGCCTCTTGCTGTGCCTCTTGCTGTGCCTCTTGCTGTGCCTCTTGCTGTGCCTCTTGCTGTGCCTCTTGCTGTGCCTCTTGCTGTGCCTCTTGCTGTGCCTCTCTTGCTGTGCCTCTTGCTGTGCCTCTTGCTGTGCCTCTTGCTGTGCCTCTTGCTGTGCCTCTTGCTGTGCCTCTTGCTGTGCCTCTTGCTGTGCCTCTTGCTGTGCCTCTTGCTGTGCCTCTTGCTGTGCCTCTTGCTGTGCCTCTTGCTGTGCCTCTTGCTGTGCCTCTTGCTGTGCCTCTTGCTGTGCCTCTTGCTGTGCCTCTTGCTGTGCCTCTTGCTGTGCCTCTTGCTGTGCCTCTTGCTGTGCCTCTTGCTGTGCCTCTTGCTGTGCCTCTTGCTGTGCCTCTTGCTGTGCCTCTTGCTGTGCCTCTTGCTGTGCCTCTTGCTGTGCCTCTTGCTGTGCCTCTTGCTGTGCCTCTTGCTGTGCCTCTTGCTGTGCCTCTTGCTGTGCCTCTTGCTGTGCCTCTTGCTGTGCCTCTTGCTGTGCCTCTTGCTGTGCCTCTTGCTGTGCCTCTTGCTGTGCCTCTTGCTGTGCCTCTTGCTGTGCCTCTTGCTGTGCCTCTTGCTGTGCCTCTTGCTGTGCCTCTTGCTGTGCCTCTTGCTGTGCCTCTTGCTGTGCCTCTTGCTGTGCCTCTTGCTGTGCCTCTTGCTGTGCCTCTTGCTGTGCCTCTTGCTGTGCCTCTTGCTGTGCCTCTTGCTGTGCCTCTTGCTGTGCCTCTTGCTGTGCCTCTTGCTGTGCCTCTTGCTGTGCCTCTTGCTGTGCCTCTTGCTGTGCCTCTTGCTGTGCCTCTTGCTGTGCCTCTTGCTGTGCCTCTTGCTGTGCCTCTTGCTGTGCCTCTTGCTGTGCCTCTTGCTGTGCCTCTTGCTGTGCCTCTTGCTGTGCCTCTTGCTGTGCCTCTTGCTGTGCCTCTTGCTGTGCCTCTTGCTGTGCCTCTTGCTGTGCCTCTTGCTGTGCCTCTTGCTGTGCCTCTTGCTGTGCCTCTTGCTGTGCCTCTTGCTGTGCCTCTTGCTGTGCCTCTTGCTGTGCCTCTTGCTGTGCCTCTTGCTGTGCCTCTTGCTGTGCCTCTTGCTGTGCCTCTTGCTGTGCCTCTTGCTGTGCCTCTTGCTGTGCCTCTTGCTGTGCCTCTTGCTGTGCCTCTTGCTGTGCCTCTTGCTGTGCCTCTTGCTGTGCCTCTTGCTGTGCCTCTTGCTGTGCCTCTTGCTGTGCCTCTTGCTGTGCCTCTTGCTGTGCCTCTTGCTGTGCCTCTTGCTGTGCCTCTTGCTGTGCCTCTTGCTGTGCCTCTTGCTGTGCCTCTTGCTGTGCCTCTTGCTGTGCCTCTTGCTGTGCCTCTTGCTGTGCCTCTTGCTGTGCCTCTTGCTGTGCCTCTTGCTGTGCCTCTTGCTGTGCCTCTTGCTGTGCCTCTTGCTGTGCCTCTTGCTGTGCCTCTTGCTGTGCCTCTTGCTGTGCCTCTTGCTGTGCCTCTTGCTGTGCCTCTTGCTGTGCCTCTTGCTGTGCCTCTTGCTGTGCCTCTTGCTGTGCCTCTTGCTGTGCCTCTTGCTGTGCCTCTTGCTGTGCCTCTCACCTCCACCATGCCCATCTCCTCATACCACTCACTCCCCACCCAAACACCGCCTTGCTTGCCCTGTGCTCGTGCAGTGACACACTTCCCCTCAACAACAAAACACACAGCTCCCTCTCTGCTGCTTCATCTCACTCACCTTCTCCTGCTCCTTCTCTGCCCCAACAATATCTGTCACCTCCGCCATCCCCATCTCCTCATAGTCTCCCACGGCCTGCCGCAGCTCTGTCGGCCAGTGGCTCTTGCTGTGCCGGTACAGGACAAAGCTCGTTGCCCCCGCCGCCACCCGGTGGTAGTCCAGCCACTCGCGCAGGCGCGGCGGCGACACGCCGTTTGTTATGAGCAGCGAGCAGATGGTGAGGGGCGTGGGGAGGGGTGAGGGCGGGGTGGAGAGCTGTGGAGAAGGGAAGGAGGGGTCGGGGAGGGAAGAAAAGGGGTTGATGAGCTGAGGAAGGGAGGGAAGAGTGGGACGAGAGAAGGGTACATATGAGCAGCGAGCAGATAGTGAGCGTCGTGGGGAGGGGTGAGGGGGGGGTGGAAAGCTGCAGGGAAGGGAAGGGAGGGAACAGTGGGATGAAATGAAAAGGGTGCAGTGCAGGGAAGGAAAAGGAAACCCGTTAGTTATGAGGAGCGAGCAGATGGTGAGCGGCATAGGGAGGGGCGAGAGGGGTCTGTGGGGAAGGGAGGGATAGTGGGGTACAACGGGTGCAGGCAAGGTAAAGAAGATGCTGCTTTATTTAAGGAGCGAGCAGATGGTGAAGGACGTGGGGACGGATGATGGGGGTGTGGAGAGGTGTGGAAGGGAGGGAAAGAGGGAAGGAGGGAAGAGTGGGATGCAGAGGGCACAAGGGAGGAAAAGGGAAACTTTTTGTGTGAGTGAGGAGCGAGCAGATGGTGAGGGGGGGGAGGGGGGGTGCGGGGGTGTGGAGAGCTGTGGGGGAAGAGAAAGAATCAAGGAAACGAGGCAAGGAAGAAGAAGGGGAGCGAGCAGATTGCGAGGGGAAAGGAAGGGGTGAAGACAGGGTGATGAGCTGTGGAAAGGAAGGGTGGGACAAAAGGGGTGCAGAGAAGGGAAAGGAGATGCCATTGCTTGTTACGAGGAGCGAGGTGAGGGGTGTTCAATAAGGCGCTGGTCAAAATAAGGCGCTGGTGAGGGGTGTTTAATAAGTCAAAATATCTGTGACTCCATGGCCCAATGGATAAGGCGCTGGTCTACGGAACCAGAGATTCTGGGTTCGATCCCCAGTGGAGTCGTTTTCTGTGCTGACCTTTTGTTCTAGATCAACTACACTACGGTTTGTTATGAGGAGTGATAGAATGGTGAGGAGCATGGGGAGGGGTGACCGGGGGGAGTTGAGGGTGGTCGAGAGTTGTGGGGAAGCACAGGAATGCAGGAAAGATGGGAGGAAAAAAAAAAGAAAATTCTTTCCCCTTCCCATGCACTCACCTCCTTTCGGCCTTCCACAACCACTTCCCATGTCCCCCCCTTGAAAATTTATCTTCTCGCCTTGCCTCCCCTCATCATACGTTCCTTTCCTCTCACTCACCTCCCCTCGGCCTTCAGTGTACACAACCACTTTCGCCCCACCAGCAGCAGCGGCACCCTCAGCAGCAGCAGCAGTGCACTCAAGGTAACCCCCACAGGGGGGAATGGCAGTGTCGCCCTCAAATCTCAGCACCACTGCTGAGGTGTTCTGAGGGGGAAGCGAGGGAAAGTGGGGCGGAGGGAGCGGGGAAAGGAGGGGGGAAAGGAGGGGGGAAAGGAGGGGGGAAAGGAGGGGGGAAAGGAGGGGGGAAAGGAGGGGGAAGGTGGGTCGGTAGTGCCGATGGTGGGTCAATGGAATGTGGCCTTCAAATCTCAGCACCAGTGCCGAGGTGTTCTTAATGGGAGCGAGGGAGGGTGGGGAGAGCGAGAGGGGAGGGAAAGGGGAAAGGAGAGAGGGGTGGATGAGTAGGGGAAAGGCGGTTTCACCAATACCCATGACCAACACACTGCCTGATGCGCACCCCCCTTCATACCCCCACCCACCAGCCCACCCAATCCAGCAACCAACCTCTTTACGTCTCACCCTCCAACCCAACCCACCACCCCAGCAGCCTCGCCTCACCTCCACCTGCAGGCGCAGCAGCGAGCCTGCGATGGGCTGGGAGCCGTCTGACTGGCGGAAGTAGCAGTTGTCGAGAGGGAGAGTGGGCATGGCGGGAGAGAGCAGGCCCACGAGTGCTATGGTGTGCGGATTGTAGCGGTATGCACTGTGGGGGAAGAGAGGGGAGAGCAGGACGGGGAGAGGGAGAAGGGAGGAAGGAGAGGATGAGAGGGAGTAGGGAGGAGAGGAGGGGCATGGGAGCCGTCAGACTGGCGGAAGAAGCAGTTGTTGAGTGGGAGAGTGGGCACGGCTGGAGAGAGCAGGCCCACGAGTGCTATGGTGTGCGGATTGTAGCGATATGCACTGTGGGGGTAGAAGGAAGGAGATGGGGGAGAGCAGGGAGGGAAGAGGGGAGGGAAGGGGAGGGAAGGGGAGGGAAGGGGAGGGAAGGGGAGGTGAGGGGGGCACGAAAGCATTCAGTCTGGGGAAGGTTTTTGAGACGTCTCAAAAGCACCCTCCTTTCATGGGGGAGAAGCTGTTGCGGTGAGATGCTTCGAGAGGTCTCATCTCAAGGCATTTCTTTCTTTGTCACGTGCAAACGCGGCAAACGCAACGAACGCAGCAGCGCTCACCTCAACTGCTGCAGGTCCGATGTGACCTGCACAGGAGAGTTCCGGCATGCTGTGCAGCGAACGAGAACAAGGGAATCCGCAACGCAGCAGTGCAGCAACAGCAGCAGCAGGCGCTCACCTGAAGAGCTGCAGGTCCGGTGTGATCTGCACAAGAGACCTGTGCTGTGGCATGCTGTGCAAAGCACAAGAACATGGTCTGGGCCTGCAAATCCGCAACGCAGCAGTACAGCAGCAGCAGCAGGCGCTCACCTGAATAGCTGCAGGTCTGGTGTGATCTGCACAAGAGAACGCTGCTTCCATGCCTTGGCCTCTGGTGGCAGGTCGAGAACCTGGCATGGCATGGATGGATGACAGGGTGTGAGAGGAATGAGAGGGTGTGGCCGGGATGAGAGGGTGTAGGGGGGATGAGAGGGTGTGGGGGGGATGAGTGGGGGTGAAGGGGAAGAGAAGATGTGAGTGGGGAAAAATGGATGGGGGAGGGGGATTAAAAAGATGAGTGGGGTGGAGAAGGCATGGGATCCATGAAAGGGGTTGAGACGGGAGAGTCAAGAGCAGGAAGGGCGGGCAAAGGGAGGAAAAGAAAAGAAGGAGCGCTCAACACGAGTGGGCTCAGTTCAACAGACGGGGGGAAATGGGGGGAAATGAGGGGAACAGGGGGGGGGACAGGTCACAGGATGTTAGGAGAGACAGATGGTGATGTTGAAGGAGATTGGAGTGCCTGTTTTGACGTTTCCCTTCCATCCCTCCCTCCCACTGTCCCACGTTTTTCCCCTCATCATCACCACTACTACCGTGCATCCAAACATCGTCTCGCCTCATTGCCGCACTGCTGCACCTCCTCCACATCTATGCCTCCCGGTGTTGCTGGTAACTCCTCCTCCCCAAGCACTCCAATCACCATCACTATCACCATCACCACCACTCACCACCCCTCACCACCATTCACTACCACTGCCTCCCATCGTCTCACCTCATCGCCGCACTGTTGCACCTCCGCCACATTTATGCCTCCCGGTGTTGCTGGTCGCTCATCCTTCCCAAGCACTCCAATCCAATCACCATCACCACCGCTCACCACCATTCACTACCACTGCCTCCCATCGACTCACCTCATCGCCGCACTGTTGCACCTCTGCCACATCTATCCCCCCCGGCGTTGCAGGTGGCTCATCCTCCCCCTCCTCCTCCCCCTCCTCCCCTTCCTCCCCTGCCTCCGCCTCCTCCCCCTCCCCCTCCTCGCCCTCCTCCTCCTCACCTCCCGCCTCTGTCTCCCCTCCAGTCCCAGCACTCTTCTTCCCAACCTCTGCCTCCCCTGCTTCAACCTCTCCTCCCTTCTGTCCTCCCTCCTCCCCTCCCTTCTCCCCCTCCTTTCCCTCCTCCTCTCCCTCCTCCTCCTCCTTTCCCTCCTCTTCTCCCTCCTCCTCAACTTCCCCTTCCCCAGGGTAATCCTCTGGAGGACCCAAGTCAGCATCATCCTTCCCCTCCCCCTCCTCCCCCTCCCCCTCCGCCTCCTCCTCGCCCTCCTTCCCTCCACCCTTCCCTCCCATCGCAGCAGCAGCAGCAGCAGCAGCAGAAGCAGAAGCAGCATTCTCCGCCCCACCTTGTGCTGGCACAACAGTACCAGCAGCAGGGCCAGGAGTTTCAGAGGGACCTGGAACAACCACTGCTGCAGGTTCGGTTGGCTCTGGAACAACCACTGCTGCAGGTTCGGTTGGTTCGGGAATGACAACAGCAGCAGGCTCGTCTGGTGCTGCAACGACCGTCGCTGCTGCAGGCTCGTTGGGTGTGGCAAGTGCTGCTGTTGTTGCAGCCGGGCCTTCTGTTGCTGCTGCTGCACTGGATGCTGCTGCTGAGTCTGGCGTGACTGAGAGGGAGGGTGCGAGGGGAGTAGGGGGAAACAGTATGAAAATGGGAAGGGAGAATAAGAGGAGAAACGGGAGCATAAGGGGGAGTGACCACCGTTTCAGGCTCGTTGGGTGTGGCAAGTGCTGCTGTGGTTGCAGCCGAGCCTTCTGCTGCTGCTGCTGCACCGGATGCTGCTGCTGGGTCTGGCGTGACTGTGGGTGGGTGTGAGTGGTTGGGGTAGAGGGAAAGAAGGCGAGTAAACAGAAGGGAGATAAGAGGAGAAAAGGGGGAACGAGAGGAACCACTGTTGCTACACGCTCGCTGGGTGTTGCAAGTGCTGTGGTTGCCGGCCGGACCTTCAGCAGCTGCAATTCCTGCTGCTGCCTTTTGAGTCGACTCAAAAGTCACCTCTTGAGTCGACTCACAAGTGCTGTGGTTGCCGACCGGACCTTCTGCAGCTGCAATTCCTGCTGCTGCTGGGTCTGGCGTGAGTGAATGTGAGGGGGGAGGAGGGAGAGAATGCACTGACAAAAAGAAAAGAGGAGAAAAAGGAAAACAATAGGAGAAAAGGGGAAAACTAGAGGAGAAAAGGGAGAAGAAGAGGAGAGAGAGGGGAGAATGAGAGGATGAAAAACGGAGAGTGAGTGGGGAGAGAAGGGGGAACGAGATGGGGAATGGAGGAGAGAGAAAGAAGAGTTCTTATCCGGAGAGCATTGGGAAAGCATTGTTGAAGAGAAAGTTTATCGAGAAGCGAATAAGAAGGAAAGAAGAGTCCCTCTCACCTTTCCCCCCCACCAATGACCACCTCCACTCCACCTACAGCTGCTGCAGCACCTCCGTGCTGTCCGCCCGCACTGCGTGGCGGCTCACCTTTTGAGTCGACTCAAAAGGCACTGCGTGGCAGCTCACCTTTTGAGTCGACTCAAAAGGCACTGCGTGGCAGCTCACCTTCTCCGAAAACCATTCTGGGAGAATGCTGATCCAGGAGAGAGCGAGGGAGAGGGAGAGGGAGAGGGAGCGTGTGGGAGAAAGAGAGTGTGGGAGAAGGAGATGGAAAAGGGTCTCACTCACCTTTCCCCCCACCAGTGGCCACCTCCACTTGAAGCTGCTGCAGCACCTCCGTGCTGCCTGCCAGCTTCCCTTCCCCACCACCGCTTGTGCAGCCTTTGCACGACAGGCAAGGCAATCACAGACAGGCAGACAGACAGTCACCTTGCAACCAACCAGTGCAGGTCTCACCTTTTCCCCCACCAGTGGCCACCTCGACCTGAAGCTGCTGCAGCACCTCCGTGCTATCCGCCAGTTCCTTCTCCACCACGTCAACCCTCTCCTGCACCGCCTTCAACCGCTCTTCACCGCGCTGCACCCGCGCTTTCAGCGGCTCCAGCAGCTTCCCCACCGCCTGCATAGCAGCAACCCCACTCGTGCCGTTTACACCCACAGCAGCAGCACTCCCTTCAGCAGCAGCAGCCACAGCCACAGCGGCAGCAGCAGCAGCGGTCCCCCCAGCAGCAGTACTGTTCTCCCCGGGACCACCAGCACCCCCAGCGGCGGCAACAAGGGAGTCCAGCTTGCCACGCAGCAGCGCGTGTTGCGACGACAGCTCCTCCACCTGCACCTTGAGCTTCGCCAGTTGCACCACGGGGGGGACTGGGCCCGCTGGCTTGGCTCCCGTCTTCTGGTGGTGAAGGGGGACAGGGGAGGGACAGGGAGGGGGAAGAGGGAAAAAGGAAGGGGGGAATGGGACAGGAGAAGGGCAGCAGGGCGTGTTGCGACGACAGCTCCTCCACCTGCACCGTGAGCTTCGCTAGTTGGGGGGACTGGCGCTGCTGGCTTGGCTCCTGCCTTCTTCTGGTGAGGTGGGGAGAGGAGTCACGGGACGGGCAGTCGAAGTGGGGAATGAGAAGGGGGGAATGGCACGGGAGAAGGGCAGCAGGGCGTGTTGGGACGACAGCTCTTCCGCCTGCAACTTGAGCATCGCTAGCTGTATGGCGGCTTTTGAGGCGCCTCAAAAGCCACCTGCACCCTCAGCTTTGCTAGCTGTATGGTGGGGGGGACTGGCGCTGCTGGTCTGGCTCCCGCCTTCTGGTGCTGCTGAGCTGGTCCCTGGTCCCACAAGAGTGTTGGGAAACAAGCACAGATACAACCCACCTGCAACCAGCAGCACCCATCAGCACCCACCAGCACCCATCAGCACCCACCAGCACCCATCAGCACCCATCAGCACCCATCAGCACCCATGTGCACCGTGCAAATACCTGCTTGCCGTTGAGCTGGTCCCTGATCTCGCGGATCTCCTCCTCCAGCGTGTCAAACGTCACCTGGAACACGCCTGTGCGTGGGGTGGGGTGGGGTGGGGTGGGGTGGAAGGGGGGAAAAGGTGAGAGAAGGTTGCAGTTGCACAAAGGAGGCTGTGTGTCTCCTCCTCCTCCTCCAGCGTGTCAAACGTCACCTGGAACACGCCTGCGAGTGGGGTGGGGTGGGGGAGGTAGGTGGGGTGGGGCGAGGTGGGGTGGGGTGGGGTGGGGTGGGGTGGGGTGAAGTGGGGTGTGTGGTGGTGTGGGGTGGGTTGGAGTCGCAGGGAGAGCGGGCACCTGATCTCGCGGATCTCCTCCTCCAGCGTGTCAAACGTCACCTGGAACACACACACCTATACATGGGGTGGCATGGCGTGGGGGGGAAGGAACGCATGCAGGAGAAGCGGGAAAAGGTGTTTAGCATGCATGCAGGCAAGGCAAAGGGAGGGGGGATCTCCTCCTCCTCCTCCAGCGTGTCAAACGTCACCTGGAACACGCCTGTTCGTGGGGTGGGGTGGGGTGGGGTGGGGTGAGGGTGGGGTGAGGGTGGGGTGGGGTGGGATGGGGAGAGGGGGCACCTGAAATGGCGAATTTCCTCCTCTTCCAGCGAGTCAAACCTCACCTGGAACACGCCTGCTCGTGCCGTGGGGGTGATGAGCAGCAAAAAGGGAAAGGGGGGCCGGGCAGGGGCAAGAAGTTATATCGAGGATACAACATCTATCTCCCCCGACGTGTGAGTGCTGCGACGCAAATCGTTGTGAGTGGTGGCCGTGCATGGATGAAATACCCAACTTCAGCCACGGATAGGCAGCCCAGCCCATCACACAGCCTGACACGTCATCATCCATCCTGACACGTCATCATCCACACACACGTGACACGTCATCATCCACACACACGTGACACGTCATCACCATTCGCACCTGAGTTGTCATACACGCTGTGCTCCAAACTCGTCACCGACTCCGTTGTCTGTGCCCGCGTGCTGGGCTGCAATAAGGGGGAAAGAACACGGTTGTGGGGGGGAAGGAGCAGGGAGAGAGAGGGGAGGTGGGGCTGACAGAGGGCCTAGTGTGCTCCAAACCCACCACCGACTCCGTTATCTGTGCCCGCGTGCTGGGCTGCGATGGGGGAGGGCAGAGGGGAGGGAACAACAGGGTTGGGGACACGAAGAGCGATGAGGGGGAAAGGGAAGAATAGGGTTGGGAAAAAGGAGCAGAAAATGTGGCGAACAGCTTCTTGCAACGAGGAAGGGAGAGGACATTGGGAGAGGAAAGATGGCTGGTAGGTAGGTGCTGCACACGCTGCGCTCTCTGGATTCTTGAGACGTCTCAAAAGACTTCCAAAGAGGAAGGGAGAGGATGCCGGGAGGGGAAAGGGTGGCTGGTAGGTAGGTCTTGCACACGCTGCGCTCTCTGGGTTTGCGGTGGGGTTTGAACCACCGCAAAGCAGCAGGAACAGCGTGAGTGTAGCGTAGCAGACAAGCTAGTGCCACCCATGTTGTAAACGAGAGTCCCTTCTAGTATGCTCAAAAGCCCACTCACATCGTACGCTACAGTGACTCACGCGCCCGTGATTGAAGCGACTTTTGAGGCGCCTCAAAAAGAAGGCAAGCAAGGGTGACCTGTGCGCTTCAGATATTTCCCAAAAGCCACTCACATCGTACACGACAGTGACCCACGCGCCCTTGAAGCGAAGGTTGTAGCCGCACATGCCCATGAGAAGCTGTGGGTGGGGAGGAAAGGGGGAGGGGGCATGGATCACAGGAAGGAGTAAGAGGGGAGCAGAGAGGCAGCTTAGACTTATTTAACCGGCCCATGACCCACGCGCCCTTGAAGCGAAGGTTGTAGCTGCACATGCCCATGAGGAGCTGTGGGTGGGTTGGGGAGGAACGGGGGAGGGATTTGAGGGGGAGAAGGAAAACAAAGCGGCATATTGAGTCACATGCCCATGAGAAGCTGTGGGTGGGGAGACGAAGGAGGAGAGGGTTCGGGGGAAAAGACAAGCAGGTGGAGAGCAAGGAAGGCAGAGGCGAATTTAAGACGAAAATGATGGTCTTAAATAAATAAACAAATAAATGTGGGAGAAGACGTACCCACCTGAAACACCTGAAAGCCAACTCACCCACCTGAAACACCTGAAAGCCAGGTGTCATGGCATTCGACAAACCCACCCACCCACGTGAGTGAGTGTGATGGAGAGCGCAAGAGCAACGAGCACCCAGAGACAGGTGGCCTTCTGATGAGATAGAGGGGAGGGGGAGAGGAGGAGAGGGCCAGGGCCCACCCACCCACCAGTCCACACACCCACCGGTCCACACACCCACTCACCTGAGTCAGTGTGATGGAGAGCGCGAGAGCGACGAGCACCCAGAGACAGGTGGCCTTCTGATGAGTAGGGTCGGGGAAGAGGGAGAAGGAGGGAGGAGGGGGGGAGGGGAGGGGGGGAGGGGGGGGGGAGGGGAGGGGGGGGGGGAGGGGGAGATGGGAGGGAAGAGGGGAGGGGAAGAAGGGAGGGAGGTGAGGGGGAGAGGGGAGGGGGGGAGGGAAGGGGAGAGGTGAGGGGGAGAGGAAAGGGGGAGAGGAAAGGGGGAGAGGAAAGGGAGAAAGAGAGCAAGACAGAGACCTTTCTATCATGTGTTCAAAGAATGGAAGTGTTCGGAAGAGGGAGGGGGTGAGAGAAACGAGCGACCAGAAACAGGTGGCCAGTGAGAGAGGGGAGGGGGAGGGGAACGGGGACGGGGTGGGGGAGAGAAAGTGCCACACCGAATCTCCCCATCCCCATGAAAAAAATCACAATCCCCTCCGCTCTCCCCCTCTCACTACCCCACTCACGGAGCACCAGGGCGCAGCAGCAGTCTCTCGTGGCCTCCGCACCTCCCCCACACCACTCCCCGCGCCACCCCCCACCATTTCCTCTTCCAGCGCAGCAGCAGCGCGCGCCGCCTCCGTCTTAAACGCCACCCCGGGCACCCGCTGTTGCTGTGGCTTCCGCGGAACCCCCAACTTTCACAATCTCAATCCCACACTCACTCACTTCCACCCACGCCCACTCCCACTCTCCCCATCTCACTCCCACACTCACAGAGCACAAAGGCGCAGCAGCCTCCTGTCGTGGCCTCCGCACCTCCCCAACACCACTCCCCCCGCCCCCCGCCATTTCCTCATCCAGCGCAGCAGCAGCAGCGCGCGCAGCCTCCGTCTTAAACGCCACCCCAGGCACCCCCCCCCGCTGCTGCTGCTGCTGGTGCTGCTGCTTCCGCGCAGGGGGACTCTCCCGCGCGCGCGGAAGCCTGCCCACCACGGAGCTGGCGGCATGGTTGTGGCTGTCGTGGTCGTGGGGGTCGAGGTCATGGTCGTTGTCCCCCCCCACCTCCCCCACGCGCGCGTACTGCACTGTGTCCTGCGCGCCCAGCCCCAGCAGCTCGAACGCCCTCATGGCTGCGCGCATGGGGAAGGGGAGATGGGGGTTGAGGGGGAAAGGAAAAGGAAGGTTGAGATCATGGTCGTTGTCCCCCCCCGACCTCCCCCACTCGCGCGTACTGCACTGTGTCCTGGACCGTGTCCTGCGCGCGTACTGGACCGTGTCCTGCGCGCCCAGCCCCAGCAGCTCGAATGCCCTCATGGCTGCGCGCATGGGGGGGAAGAGTGGGGCAAGAAGGGGGGAGAGAGGGGAGGGGAGCAAGAGGGACGAGGGAGAGGAAATGTCACCCCACGCGCGCGTACTGCACCGTGTCCTGCGCGCCCAGCCCCAGCAGCTCGAACGCCTTCATGTCGCGATGCTGCGCGCAGGGATTTGGGGGAAAGGGAGGGGAGCGCCGGGGGGGGGGAGGGGAAGGGGGAAAAAGAGAGGGGGTCGGGGTTGAGGGAGCGGAGAGTGGAGGGCAGGGAACGACTCATGGCGGGCGCAAGGAACGTGCGCGAACCGCGCGCGAGCACGCGCATCGAACGAAATAATGGCCGAGAGAGACGCGGTAGGTGAGAGGAGCGCGCGTGACGGCAGGCGGTGGAACAGAGGAAGAATGACGGAGGCGGAACGATTTCTCAGGCGCCTCGGCGGAGGCAGAACGTCGGGGTGATGCTCGCGACATGGTTACCCGCGGTTACAGCTCGCACAACGGGTTACCAGCAGCGTATCGAATCGCAAAAGCAACAATGCGGTGGAACTCGGGCGAAAATCAACCGCAACATGCGGCGATTGACATAATTCAAGTCAACCTAAACACGCACCTTCGCACCTGCGCTTCCAAGTGGGCACCTGCGCGCGACTTACTTGAATACCTTTTGAAAGGGGTCCCCGCTTCTTAAAACGGATTTCGACGGCCGCCTCGCGAAAATGCGTGACGGTTCGCAAAATACGCGACAACAGAGAAGGCCAATGGGAATGGCAGCAGCAGAGAGGTCGAAAACGCCAATGGGAATGGCAGCGTAACAGTATCCGAAGCAATTTGGACGCCGCACAGTGAAAGAATAAATAATGGGAATGGTGGCTAGAAGGCGCAAACCTAATTGACGGAACTTGTATCCTTCTACGGCGTGGTGCGACTGGCGAAAAACGGCCTCTATTCTACACGCTTTCTCCTCATCCACTGTCGGATGTCATGGCAATGCAGGTCGTCCGATTTCTATATAAGCGGTTCACGCGCATGCCTCTTAGCGCAGGTCGCGCAGATAAAGCGTTGCGGCGAATATCACGGATGGTTGTGCGGAATAGCGGCGCCAAACATAGTCGATGTTTCTTGCGAAATGAGTACGTACGGAACTGAATAGCGGCAAATTTTACTTTGTTTCTGTTCTCCCGCCAATCGCACAAATATCTCGTCGTCTGGACGACGTGCTGCGACTACGCGTATGATGGTCTGCGACGCGGAGCTAGACTGTACGACATTGTACGACTCTGCAGAAAGGGTGATTGAAGTGCTTTTTCGCCCGAAGCAGCATCCAACACCTCAGCAAAGCAACTTACGACGTCGCTGAGTACTCTTTGTGAAGTCGTACACTCTCTCGCAGAGTCGTTCTCGGGGACTTTCCAGCTGAAAGGAAAGTCGCTATTGGTGATTGGTTTGGCAGCACGACGTAGCCCTTTGAATGTGATTGGTCACGCCCCAGCCCGACTGAGCGCCTACGAAGGCACCAAGTTTGCAGAGAGAGTTTTGCTCAAATCCTTGGAAGCGCGATTCGTTTTATTATCGCCACGTGGCAGCACAACGATCGCGCAAAGCGCGTTCTGTTTTATTTTCCCCACGCTTGCAATGTTTTGATACTTTAGCCGTGTTTAGAGATGACTCTTGAAAAATTTCGGAGCTCGTGCAAGACAAACTTGCAACATTCAATCGGGGATCACCAGTGGACCTGTAGCCCGTGGGTCCGTTGCTCCTGTCGCTGCTGATCAGACGCAGAGCGAGTTACTCCTGTATTCCGGGGCACTTGCTCCCGGTAGCCACTAGCGTTGCACCAGAGCCGTCTGTTGCCCGTGTGTCTGCAGCTTCAGTCGGTAGCCACCGGTAGCTCAGAGAGCCGGTTGCACCTGTCGCCCGTGGGTCCGTTGCTCCTGTCGCTGCTGATCAGACGCAGAGCCAGTTACTCCTGTATTCCGGGGCACTTGCTCCCGGTAGCCACTAGCGTTGCACCAGAGCCGTCTGTTGCCCGTATGTCTGCAGCTTCAGTCGTCGCCTCCCATCTACTCTCCTCTCGCCAGCCCTCCTCCTCCTCACTTGCCCTCAGTGACTGCCTCTACCTTTGCTCATAATTTATGAACTATTGCTATTGTGACTGCTTGTTGTGCTGATTACACCCCACTTTGGCTATGGGGGTGTGTCAGAATGTTATATTGTCTAGCCTGCAGTGGGGTACTCTATAGCGAGTACAGCCCAATCTAGGGTTTGCTATTTGTACTCAACTGCCTGCTAGTTCGAACCCTCTTTCTGTTCCTAACTTCTGCCTAACTTGTTTCGACAGTGTGTGCACCTCGGGCATCCCAGTGCGAGGGGGTGTCAGAGGTCCACTGGTGATCCCCGATTGATCCTAGGGAAGGGTTACAGGCACGTTGGCCTAGGGGGTTATGGGCGCACTCACCCGCTACATAAACAAGCCATTTTATCCCAGTGGTTAGTGGCTGGGATTCTGACAGTGCTGACTAGACGCGCAGCAAGAGAGATGTGAGTGGGAAACTGGAATTGTGCTTCGCTACCCTGTTAGGGAGAAATTTGTTTTTGTATTTGGACAATTTTTCTAAATTCGACATGCGCTTATAAAAATCACGAATTTTTAGGGGGTGCTCTTATAATCGAGGACCAGATATAAGCGCCCTCATTCTTTTATAATTGCCGGAGCTTATCCGAGACCTGCGGTTCTATCCGGGGGCTTACGGTAGTATGCTTGAATGTGATTGGTCCCAACTAGCTAAGCGGGTCAGCCCTAGCACGACTGGGCACCAATAAATGGGCAAACGCTGTCAACCCGATTGGTGATTGTATACCCTCATCTAGTCATTAGTTCTCTCTTTCGCATGGTATCACGCTACGTTAGAACCGTCGCTTCTGCCACACATACACCCTAGCTAACCCTATTGCTCTCACGCAACATCTAGCCCGCCCCTTCGCATCGCCGCCGCAACCCTCAAGCTGAGCCTCCCATGTAAGCTTCTCTGCCAACTTCCCCCCATCCCTCAAACCTGTCGCAGCCATTGCCCGGTCTCTTCCATCACCGACGTCATCCTCGTAGTTCCTGTAGCAGCCTTCGTTGCCGCTGCAACAATCGTCGCCGCCGTAGCCGGTCGTTGTAAACTCTTGGGGTGTTGCTACTGTGGGTGCTGCTTCTAGGGGGCGCTCGTTCTGGGGTTGTTGACGTCGGGATTGTAGGTTCTAGGGGTGCTGCTGCAGAAGGCCCTAGTATTGGGGGTGTCAAGGGGGTGGGATGTCTGGCGCCAGAGCCGCGACAACCATACTATGTCTGCACTTCGCCTTCTTAATCTCTCTCGACTGACTAATTGATTGTTTCCCCCTCACCATCTCTCCTCATCTACGGTCCCACGTTTCCTTGACCAGTTTCATTCCCGGCTTGTCTTCCTCCTCGTTCATGGCTATCTCCCCCTCTATCTCCTGACCAGTTTCCTGCCTCTCACCATTGGGTCCGTCACCCCCCTCCTTCTCACCACATGTCTTTCCTTTTCGGTATCGACTCTATGCTCCTCCATTCTCATTCCCCTCGTATATCGCCACCCTCCCGTTCTCCCATCGTCTCCCCCGTCATCCCTTGCGTTCCCCTCTCCACTATTCTATCACTTTCTCTATGCCACACGTCTTATGGTCACCCGCGTCCTTTCCCCACTCGTTACCGACCCCACTATGCATACTTCGTCTGTCTCTGTTCTTGTCGTTATTGTCGCTGCCTCTATTATGGCACACGGCTGGTCTCTGCTCTTGCCCGTCCTCCGTCCGTCGGGGTGGTCTTGCCCTTGGCAGCAACATCCTACGGAACAGACAGTTCACTAGCCCGTGAGGGTGACCGAGGCGCTCTTGACATTCCAGCCCCTCGCACCTATGCTAACGCATTCTCAGTAGCCTAGGCCTCTCCGAGGATAGTGATCATGGACGCAGAGATGGTATATTAGAGGTCTACGTGCACCTACGTCGACGCAATTTCTTCTCATTGGGTGAATATAGTGAATGGCATGTGGATCTCCACGGCGTGATACGTTGCTGGAGCTTCAGTGAGCGAGGGGGGATAGACTTATTTCATACCTTCACACCCACCTTGAAGATGGCCATTCTTCATGTACTGCAGTATATCGCGGTGCAGCGCGATTACGAGCTTCACGCGCTTGACTTCCCTACTGCATTCCCGTAGGGCAGCCTGCACGGCAGATATTCTTATGTTGACGCTTGGCTTTACTGGGTCCTTTCCATTTAGGACCCAATGGACCCCTTCAACGGCCCGTATCTGGTATGCATTAGGCACCTCTTGAGTGGCAGGACACAAAGCGCAGTACTTTCGTTCACCTCAGCTTCTTCCCGTACTTTGCTGGCCCTTATCTATTCGTTCGCCTAGCTTGATTCCTTTCTACGTTTTCGTCTGTGAAGACGACCTGGTCTTCGCTTCTAAAGATAGAGTCATATTGGCCTTATACACACCTGCATTGACATTAATGAACTGTACCGTTATCTTTGCCTGCGAATAAGCAGGGACAAAACATCGCGCCCCATTAGTCTGACTGAGTTACACATGGTGTAGCACGTCCTCCAGCGCTTCGGCCTATAGTTCTCATTTGCACAACCCACTCCTACCTATTGACCATAAACTCTCGAATTCTTTCTCCTACAAGCCTGTTGAGCCAAGTGGCCAGTACGCATAGATGGTGACGTGCCTCAGGTACCTGATGATATGCACTCGCTCATACCTCCCATATCCTTTCAGCATCTTTGCTCGCTTTGTTGCGACTAGCAGACAACTTGAGGACTACTTGACTACTAACAGGGCATTGCACTATCTGGCTAAAACATCAAGCATAGGGGCTTGTGCTCGGTGGGCGATAGCCAGTTGCACATATGGGACACACTTACGAGTCGTGGGCATACGACATCGAGACTCTCATGCCCTTTCGTGGCTACTGGTACAGTCTTGTCGCCTTAGTTTTATCCTATATGTCCGCTCATTCATTGTCGGTAGTTTTCAGCTGTGAGGCAGATACCTATGGTGATGCCATGATGCTCAGCAGCTTCGTTGGCTGATGTTCTTGCTTACTGACTTAAATGAGTCGCCTAGCTTTGTTAGGTCCTAGTTGCTCATAAAAGAGCCATGTTCCTCCTCTATCAGGAGCCTTGCCTAGACGGCAACGCATAGCATATCTAGCTGCACGAGGGCGACCATACACGTGCACTTGGCCTCAGGGGTCAATACCACTCAACAATGCAAGTCGGGCCAATCGTCTGCGCCCTACCTGCGAACGCGCGCACTGCTGTCTTCTACGGGGCAACGCCGGACAGCCGCTCTGCTGCAGCGTTGGCATGTCGTCGACCTGCAGTGTTGGCAGGTCGCTCTTCTGCAGTACTGGCGCGGCTCCTCTATGCAACGCTGGCAGGCGATCGACCATGGAGTGCTGGCGGTCAACCAGGCTAGCAGCAAAGTTGCTAGGTACTTGATGTAGTCATTCTGTCATTGATTGTTCCATCATTCTGTAATTCCAACTTTGCTAGTGAAACTCCTGCTAATCTCTCCCGTGAATGCGCAAGTGCTAAGGAACCAAGCAAAGCTACGATCACTCCTAGTAGTTCGTGCCAACCCCCGTAGTCTAGCTCACTACCGTTGTAGAGTGAATCTCCGCAATCCTTGCCTGTGACCCTTTCTCAGGATCCCATGCCGATCCCAGTGCTCCTCCAACAAGTTGTACCATTTACGCTTTGTTGTTCTTGCTGGCTGGCCGTGTGGTCCCTTGCCGTAGAGGTTGGACTAAAGGTGTCGCCCAGGGTTGTTTCTCATTTGCTAGGCACTATCTCTTACCTAGCGCAAGGGGTGTGTCAGCATACACATTTGTGGATCCTATCTCTTACATCTTTGCCATATAGAGCGCATGCTTGTTATATGTAAGAAACCGTATCCTCGCGTCAGTTATTCGTTATCTCATTCCGACACGTATGTATGCATTCTCTTCGCAATAGTGCAGAATTATTTCGTTAATTTTTGTTTGTGGGGCCAAAGGTTTTTTCCTCAATATGAATCACAAAAGTGAATACAGTGAAACCCGTCATAGGAAAGTCTTACCATCTCGAACCTAAGAATACGTAAACAAAAAAACCCCGAACAAAGTGTTGTTTCCTGAGACATCTATATGTCAACCAAGTATGGCACGTGCACCCAAGGTGCTTGCTCCCTCCCCAAAATCCTGCTTATCACCCCTCCGATCAACCCAGTCCATCTCGGACTCACCCAACATGGATAGGTACGATGTGTAGATCCAATCCTTTATTAATATATATGCTAGTTGCATCTTCTTGTATCCATGTTCACCAGCTTATGCAGGTCAAAGAAGATATGTGATATGAAAACTCGGTATTGCAACGCATGTCTGGCGTCGCGTGTGTTCAGGCAAACGGGTTTTTGGCATGCATCTGTGGCGGCGGCGAGTGGCGGGCAGGGAATCGAGTCAAAGTTTCGCGTGCTTGTTGCCACGATTCTCGCACCGCATGCTGGGCAATGTCTGCAATTTCGCTGCGGACGCGGTTCGGTCGGTGGGTGTGGTTTGCTTCCACACGTCCTTCCCCACGCGCTGCTTTCGCCTCTTCTCTCCTCACACCCACAACAGCACATCCGCCATCCTGTATCGACTCGACTCTCTCCTCTTCTCTAATCCCTTCAGTACAATCACCGACATCATTCCGTACCCTGCGCTTTTCAATCTGCCTTCACCCGTTTCGCACTTTCCCCTCCCCAGCATTCGGTAGTGGGGCGAGCTCATCCCTTCCCCTCTTTACTCAACTGGCTATCAGAAACAGGAGGTGCATGTTGAGCCATGTCATCCTCCCCATCACCCATTCATCCACAAGTTGCATCGTTTGCGGCGGGCCACAGATAATGCTAGAATGCTAGTAGCAGCAGCGCACTTAGGTCTTAGCACCTCGATAAAAGTAATTCTCCTTGATGCGCGTGAGTGACCGTCAGCAGGGCAGCAATACCACATAACATACCATTCCAGCAAGTACGAGAGGCTGCCCGTGTTAGGCTCGGTCATTCGCTGCATAAGCAGCTCACTCTAATCCGCCGCGCTCTTATTTGACCGCTAGCTGGGTGTGCTGCTCCAATGTACATTACTTGAAATTCCTCGCCATCGCCCAATCATCCAAGGGTAGCTAGACATGAGTCGACTTGAGAGGCGCCAAAAAATACTTGAAGCTCCTCGCTATCACCCATTTATCCAGAGGTAGCTAGGTGCTGGTACTCTCGTTTCCCCGTTGTACATTACCATGGCCACCCGTCCCCCTCGCGCGATTGACCCAAAGCCCTCGCTATGCTGCCATCGTTCTGTGAGCCAACCGCACATTAGTAGCACGCGCGTTCAAACTACCGCGGCTAGTAGTACAACTGCAAATAGCACGCGTGGTTACAGCCCGGGCGCGCGACGCGGGGCCGCACACTGCATCTCAGTGTACAGTACGACATCCGCCCGTTGTCAGCCTTCCGCTCGATCTAGGACATCCTTTCGCCGGTTTCGCATCGTCGCCACCCGTACGAGGAGATTACATCGACTATTGCGACTATTGCTCTTTTGGGCCTGGTACCTCGCTTCAGTATCACTCGCTACACTCACTCCGCCTGGCAGCGGCGTTCGTTCGTTCGTCGCAGTCGCGTCGCCAGTGGCGACCGTTTACGACCCGAACCGCTTAGTAAAACAGCAACAGCAGCAGCAGCAGCCGCAGCAGCAGCCGCAGCACCAACATCAACTGCAACAGCAGGAGCAGGATCTGGAACAGGTGCGACCGCCTCCCTTGTTCCGCCTCGACCGCTTCTTCGGTTCCGGTCCCGACAGCATTTGGAAAACGCCGGTTGATAGCGCAGGTGATGGCGCAAGCGGCGGCGCAGGGAAGAGGAAGCGGGAGGATGCCGTTGATGCAGGTTATCTGACAGGGGGAGGGGATGCCGGCAGTTATTTGATAGACCCGGGGGACGGCACCAGCGCAGATCGCGCGGAATTCCCCCCCGCGGAGCTCTTCACCGCGCGGAACTTCCCCGTGAGGCTGCCGCGGCGGAAGGGGAAGCGGAGAAAGGGCGGGCGGGAGGAGGATGGGGACGAAAAGACCGATCCAGGCACGGTAGAAGGCAGTTCGGCGGGGCAAGACTCGTGGGTGCTTCCAGTAACGGGGGATGGGTTCCCTATGACACCATACCAAGATGTGATTAAAGCGGGGGAGAGGAACGTGGACTGCCCGTACCGGTCGCGCGGCGCGGGAGAGAATCTGTACAGATGCGCCATGGGTTACGCCGCACTTGCCGGCGTGACTGGCGGGCTGGGAAAGCCCGTTTATGTGGTTACCAGTGACGTGGATAGGGCCGAGGACGTTCCGCAAGGCACGCTAAGATGGGGTTTAAGTAACTATCCCGAGGGTGTGATTATACGCTTTAATAGCTCGATGTTCATTAAGTTACAGAAGCGGCTGTTTCTGCAATCGCACGTGACGATCGACGGTCGCGGCGCGAATGTGATTATACGCGGAGGGATGGTGCTGCAGAACATCACGAATGTGATCATACACAACGTCGCGAGTGAGTGTAACGGGGGGCGGCGGGAGGAAGGGGGGGGAGGGCGCGGGGGGTATTGGAGGGGAAGCCGGGATTGGGGGGTTGTTGTTTGTCGGGCTTTGTGTATGGGGGGGGCGCGGACCTGAGGGAGAAGCGGGGAAGGGGAAATGGGGAGGGGGCGAATAAGCGGGAGAGGTTCGAGTTTCAGTGTTTGACGTCATGCTATGGCGAGGCTGGGGGGAGAGAACGGACAAACACTTAGAGTTGTCGTCTATAATCGTGTGGTGGGCCTCGAGTTGATTTTGCCGGGGCCCATTTGCGCTGTTCCCTGCGTGCGGGCCCATATGCGCAGTTCCATGCGCGCGGGGTCATATGCGCAGCGCGTCAGACTCCGAGGGAGCCTTCCCAAACCTTCCCCAGCTCCGCCCATTCCCCCGCCTTCCTTCCCCCCCGTAGCTCCTTTCCGCATAATCTCGAATTTCACCCATTCAACCTTTTCCTCCGAGGTGGCTTTTGAGTCGACTCAAAAGTCACCTCTTCCTCTGCGGTTCAACCAGCGCGGCGACCACGACGCGGTGCGCATCGGAGTAAACCCACTCTCAAACTTCCCCTCCAATTCTTCTCCCCCCTTCCCCTTTAACCCTCTCCCTTCACCGCCCTCCTTCCCCCACCCGCACAGCCGGCGACCAGCGCGGCGATCACGACGTGTGCACCTCGGATTGGGTTGACCCCAACATCTCCATTTCCCCCATCCGCCCGCACATCCCCCGTTGCCCCCCTCTCAACCCGCGCAGTCGGCAATCAGCGCGGCGATCACGACTTGGTGCACATCGGATTGGCCCCACCCTCCCTTTCCCCCATCCGCCCGCACACCCCCTGTTACCCCCCCCCCCCCCCCCCCCCCCCCCCCCCCCCCCCCACTCCTTTCCCCGCAGTCGGCGACCAGCGCGGTGATCACGACGTGGTGCATGTCGCAATAACGCGAAGCCAAACATTCCGCACCCCCCTCTCCCCCCCCCACTTTCTTTCCCCCCCAACTCAAACTCCCTTCCGCGCAGTCGGCGACCAGCGCGGGGACCACGACGTGGTGCACATCGCAATGAGCCAACCCCGAGATTTCCCCCTTTCCCCCATCCACCTACTTCCCCCCACCCACCCGCGCAGTCGGCGACCAGCGCGGCGATCACGACGTGGTGCACATAGCGGGCACGACGCGCATGCAGCCGGTTTAGCTGCATCAAGTACCCCATTTCCTTGTCCTTCTCCCCTCCACCGTTATCCATTGCCCGTGCAGTCGGCGACCAGCGCGGGGATCACGACGTGGTGCACATAGCGGGCACGACGCGCGTGTGGATAGACCACTGCCAGGTGTACAAGGCCCTGCGCGGTACAGTGGACGCCGTTTACGGCTCTACGGATATCACCATCAGCAATTCGTATATTAGCAACCGGTAAGTGTTACAAGTGTATATATGATTCCAATTTAAGGGTGCACGACGCGCGTGTGGATAGACCACTGCCAGGTGTACAAGGCCTTGCGCAGTACAGTGGACGCCGTTTACGGCTCTACGGATATCACCATCAGCAATTCGTATATTAGCAACCGGTAAGTGTTACAAGTGTATATATGATTCCAATTTAAGGGTGCACGACGCGCGTGTGGATAGACCACTGCCAGGTGTACAAGGCCCTGCGCGGTACAGTGGACGCCGTTTACGGCTCTACGGATATCACCATCAGCAATTCGTATATTAGCAACCGGTAAGTGTTACAAGTGTATATATGATTCCAATTTAAGGGTGCACGACGCGCGTGTGGATAGACCACTGCCAGGTGTACAAGGCCTTGCGCGGTACAGTGGACGCCGTTTACGGCTCTACGGATATCACCATCAGCAATTCGTATATTAGCAACCGGTAAGTGTTACAAGTGTATATATGATTCCAATTTAAGGGTGCACGACGCGCGTGTGGATAGACCACTGCCAGGTGTACAAGGCCCTGCGCGGTACAGTGGACGCCGTTTACGGCTCTACGGATATCACCATCAGCAATTCGTATATTAGCAACCGGTAAGTGTTACAAGTGTATATATGATTCCAATTTAAGGGTGCACGACGCGCGTGTGGATAGACCACTGCCAGGTGTACAAGGCCTTGCGCGGTACAGTGGACGCCGTTTACGGCTCTACGGATATCACCATCAGCAATTCGTATATAAGCAACCGGTAAGTGGTGCGTTGTATGCAGATATGGTCTTATATAGCATGTGTTTATTCATCTAAATGTTCATATACTGCATGCATATTCATCCATATCTGTACATGTTCATATTCTGCATGCCATTCATTCATAAATGTCTACACATGTTCATATACAGCAGGTATTAGTACAGTGGGCTCTGGCTATCGCTCTCAACTCGAACCAACCTCTTCACCATTCCCCCTGCCTCCCCTTTCCCACCTTCCCCACATATACCCGTCCAAGCAGCAGCCTCGCCTCCACCACCTTCTGCTTCCCTGCATATACATGTGTGATGCTCCCCCACCTTCCCCTCATGTGCCCACCCACACAGCAACCTCACCATGCTGCTAGGAGACTGGGTATACGACGTGGACATGCGAGTGATGGTGTATGATGCATAATGCCCTGCCCCACCTTCTCCTCACGTGCCCCTGCCCATCCAAGCAGCAACCTCACCATGCTGCTGGGAGCGGAGGACGACGGGGTATACGACGTGGACATGCCAGTAACGCTCTACTCCCCCCTCCCCCTATCCCCTGCCTTGCCCCCCCCCCTTCCCACCCACACAGCAACCTGACCATGCTGCTGGGAGCAGAGGACGACGGGGTATACGACGTGGACATGCGGGTAACGCTCTACCGCAACTGGTTTGACAAGTCGGGGCAGCGGCAGCCCAAGGCGCGGTGGGGAAGAGGAGAGTCCACGTGGCCATCCACGTGGCAAACAGCCTCTCTACTTCTAACTGCACCTGTACAACTGCCTCTACAGCCGTATCTAACCTTCTCACCTCCTTTCTCCTTCTCCCACACCTACTTCCCCTCATATGCCCATCCATACAGCAACCTCACCATGTTATTAGGCGCAGAAGACGACGGGGTATACGACGTGGACATGCGGGTAACCCTCTACCGCAACTGGTTTGACAAGTCGGGGCAGCGGCAGCCCAAGGCGCGGTGGGGGAGGGTCCACGTGGCAAACAGCCTATACTCCAAATGGTCCTACTACTGCCTCGGCGGCCGAATGTACGCGGCAATCCGTTCCGATCGCAACATTTTCATCGCCGGGGACGCGCGAAAAGAACTCACCCCGTGGTTTGGCGAACGCGCCCTTTGGACGGAGGGGTTCGATACGACCCCGGTGATTCGCTCGTTTGGGGATTTGCTGGTGAATGGAGCGACTTTCACCGAGTTTAACGCGGATTTGTCGATTTTCGACCCGCCATATCGGCTGCCGATGCACACTGCGGACCGGGAGCTCGCGCACTTTATACGCGTTAATGCAGGGCCTAGAAACGGGGATGTTCCTGAGCTGCTGTGCACGCCGCAAACCTGCTTCCAGTGAGGCTGCAGTGCAGCAGAGCGGAAGGGGTGAATGGTGGGTGCAGGAGTGTATGGATGACAGGAAAGGGATGGAATGGTGGTGGGAGGGATGGACGTGCTTCAAAGGTCTGAAGCAGAGCTTAGACGGGGTGAACGGTTGCAGGGACGGATCATGGATGGAAGGGAAGGGATGGAGTGGTGGTGGGATGGATGGACTGATGGATGGGGAGAGACGGTGGAATGGAGGGTTGGGAGGAGAGATGGAGGCATGGAGGGATGGATGAGTGATGGAAGGTAAGAGATGGGGGAATGGAGGTGGAGGAGTGGTGGGATGCAATGGGGGAATGGACTGTTTGGAAGGGATGGATGGCGGAAAGGAGGAACATGGGTGGGGTGGGGGCTTGCCCACCTGAAACCAAGATGTTTCAGAGCTGCTGAGTCTGCATCAACGGTACAGCTTTGAGTCGCCTCAAAAGGGGTTGGGGAGGAATGGCGGAAAGGAGGAACATGGGTGGGGTGGGGGCTTGCCCACCTGAAACCAAGATGTTTCAGAGCTGCTGAGTCTGCATCAACGGTACAGCTTTGAGTCGCCTCAAAAGGGGTTGGGGAGGAATGGCGGAAAGGAGGAACATGGGTGGGGTGGGGGCTTGCCCACCTGAAACCAATATGGTTTGGAGCTGCTGAGTATGCCTAATGGTACAGCTGTGATATTTGTTTGCATGTACCGAGTCCCATCCCGTATTCATGTGAAGCTGGAAATGAATGAAATGCTGTGCCTGGTGAGTATTCTGTCTAACCAGTAACTACCAATGCTGTTCTCCAATTTGTTAAAGGTCGGCAAACAGGTTCTCTCCCAAAATTTGTAGGCAGCTTCTCTCTCAAGAGAAGCAAATGGTATGGCAGATTCTCTTCTCTCCCAAGGACTGTTATGTACCTGCTGCTAAGCTGATTTTCCGCTGGCAATCTCTCAAGCATTGACCCAATTCTATGCTTTTATTACAACCACCTTAAATCAACAAAAAACTCTTGTGATATCTACAGTTCCCAACAAACACTAAGAAATAGCAAACAATTACCGTACTTCACCCATGTTTCTGCTTCTGTCCCTTCGGATCGCAAACCTTGAATCAATCCTCCTGAATCAACCAACTCCTCTCAGTTTGTTTTCTTTTCCGCCTTGGCAGCATCTGAGCCAGCCTTGATCGTCGCCTGCTTTAGTTTTTTCTTCGGGCTGCCCCCCTCACCGGGCAGGCAGAAGAAAGCAAGCGCCAAGCCGATGAGAAAGGCGGGCTGGATGGACGGTGGTTGCACCTAGGAGGAACAAAGGGGGGGGAGGGGTGGGAAGGAGGGGTAGATATGTTTCTTGAAAGGCGGGCTGGATGGACGGTGGTTGCACCTAGGAGGAACAAAGGGGGGTGGGAGGGAGAGTGAGGGGCCAGGGGGGTGGGAGGGTAGGGTAGAGATGAGTTTTGAGGCGCCTAACATGACAGCAGCAGGCCGATGAGGAAGGCGGGCTGGATGGACGGTGGTTGCACCTACGAGGAACAAGGGGGATGGGAAGGAGGGGTAGAGGAGGCATGATTTGAGGCGGCTGACAAGGTGAGAGAGGGGAACCGATGAGGAAGGCGGGCTGGATGGACGGTGGTTGCACCTAGGAGGAACAAGGGGGGTGGGAGGGAGAGGTAGAAATGCAGTCTGAGGCGGCCGATGAGGAAGGCAGGCTGGATGGACGGCGGTTGCACTTAGGAGGAACAAAAGGGGGTGAAAGGGAGAGGTAGAAATGCGGTTGAGGCGGCTGAAAAGGTGAGAGGAGGGAACAGACGAGGAAGGCGGGCTGGAAGGCGAGCAACCCAAACACAAGGAGAGTGTGCAAATGGGGAACCTTTGAGTCCACCCAAAAGTCAAAATCGGATTTTGATGGGTGGGAGTTACCTTAAAGGGGTGAGAGGTCGGTACCTTAGATAGGTCGGGGTAGGTGTGAGGGAGCAGTATGGGGCGCAGCAGCTCCTAGAGCAGTATGGGGCGCAGCAGCTCCTAGAGCAGTATGGGGCGCAGCAGCTCCTAGAGCAGTATGGGGCGCAGCAGCTCCTAGAGCAGTATGGGGCGCAGCAGCTCCTAGAGCAGTATGGGGCGCAGCAGCTCCTAGAGCAGTATGGGGCGCAGCAGCTCCTAGAGCAGTATGGGGCGCAGCAGCTCCTAGAGCAGTATGGGGCGCAGCAGCTCCTAGAGGAGTATGGGGCGCAGCAGCTCCTAGAGGAGTATGGGGCGCAGCAGCTCCTAGAGGAGTATGGGGCGCAGCAGCTCCTAGAGCAGTATGGGGCGCAGCAGCTCCTAGAGGAGTATGGGGCGCAGCAGCTCCTAGAGCAGTATGGGGCGCAGCAGCTCCTAGAGCAGTATGGGGCGCAGCAGCTCCTAGAGCAGTATGGGGCGCAGCAGCTCCTAGAGAAGTATGGGGCGCAGCAGCTCCTAGAGGAGTATGGGGCGCAGGAGCTCCTAGAGCAGTATGGGGCGCAGCAGCTCCTAGAGGAGTATGGGGCGCAGCAGCTCCTAGAGGAGCAGCAGGAAGCCCAGAAAGCGGCATGCGGGCAGCCTTTTAACACGGCTGCTGTCTCTCCCCTCACCTTGAAGTTATCTCGCAGGGGTCGGGGGGGTGGATTCCCCTTGGAGGGGCAAAGGAGGGGCCTTGGAGGTACCTTGGTGATGAGAGGAAAGCACAACACTACCTTGGATGGGTCAGGGTAGGTGTGAGGGAGCAGAAGCCCCCAGAGCAGCAGCAGGAAGCCCAGCAGCGGCATGCCACAGTAGCCCAGCAGCGGCATGCCACAGTGGGCAGGTGGGCAGCTGAGGCCTTACTTCCATCAACTCAGTGGGTACGTGGGAGGTAGGTACCTTGGAGGGGTCGGGGTAGGTGTGAGGGAGCAATATGGGGCGCAGCAGCCCCCACAGCAGCAGCAGGAAGCCCAGCAGCGGCATGCGGGCGGCTCTGAACTGCGCTGCTATGGCTCCTCCCACCGCGAAATAACTGCCCACCACCAGCTGAGGAAGGGTGGAGGAAGAGGGTAGGGGGTCCAGAGCAGGGTTGCTGAGGCGGTGCCAGAAGCTGCAGCCCCCAGAGCAGCGGCAGGAGGCCGAGCAGTGGCATGCGGGTGGCTCTAAACTAAGCTGGTATGGCTCCCCCCACTGCGAAATGACTGCCCACCACCAGCTGGGGAGGGGGGAGAGTAAGGTTAGGGGGTCAGGAGGGGGGTTGCTGAGGCGGTGCCAGAAGCTGCAGCCCCCAGAGCAGCGGCAGGAAGCCGAGCAGTGACGTGCGGGCTGCCATGAACTGCGCTGCTATGGCTCCCACCACCGCAAAATAACTGCTCACCACCAGCTGGAGAGGGGGGGAGAGGAGGAGAGGGGGAGGGGAAGTGGGCGGTGAAGGGGAGGAGAAGGGGTGGGGGAAAGAGGGAAGCGGGAGGCTTTGAACATGGCTGCTAAAGCTTTCTCCACCGCGAGTTGCCTCGAACAGCTGGCTTTCATCATCGTCTGGCTGCTGTAGCACCCAGCCACAGTTGCCTCAACAGATTCCACACACCTGATTCTTTCCAACTCTGCTTTCAAATCCAGGCAATTTCCGCCGCGAACCCCTTACCTCCTGCAAAAAAGAAAAACCCTGTCCCTGAAACCCTCACCTCTAAGGCGCAGCAGAGGCAGGCCGGGGGTCAGTGGGATCCCCGGGGTCATCAAACGGCCTCTCGTACTGCTCCAGCACAGACTGCCCCAGGGGTATCGTCCCAAGGGTGCTGCTGCCGCAGGGTGCTGCTGCTGCAGGGTGCTGCTACCGCAGGGTGCAGCTGCTGTTCAACCCTGAACCCTAAACCCCTCAACTCAACCCCAAACCCACGTCCCCTCACCTCGAGGCGCAGTAGTGGCAGGCCCGGGTCAGTGGGATCCTGGGGGCCGTCAAACGGCCTCTCGTACTGCTCCAGCACGGATTGCCACGCTGGCAGGCGCATCGCCGCCGCCACGTCACCGTCCAGCAGGGCGGCGCCCACGTGGCGCGCCACCTCACCGGGGTAGACGACGGCGGAGAGGAGGACAGGTGGCAGCCAGACGGGGTGGCAGAGCTGTGTGATGACGACTGCTATTGGTGAATCCACCTGGCGGTTGGATATGGTTATGCTGCCAGCATGGAACAACAGCAGGGCGAGCAGGGAGAGCGTGTGGGGAGGAGCGAATGGGGGAGGGCGTGGGGGAGGGAGCGTGGCGGGAGGGGAGAAAGCGGAAGGGGTTGGAGGAATTGGGGGAGGGTGATTGAGGGAGGGAAGATGAGGGACAGGAGGATAGGTGGCAGCCAGACGGGGTGGCAGAGCGGTAATGACAACCGCTATCACCTCGTGAGGGGAGGGAGGGGGTTGTGAGGGAGGGAGGGGGGTTGTGAACTGAAAGGGGGAAGTGAATGTTAAGGATCAGGGAGTGTGTGCCAAGGAGATACTGTGCGACTGAAACAGCTGGGAAGCCACGCGAAGAAGCGGAGTTTAACACGTGGCTCAGATTTTATATAAAACCGAGTTCACTTCTGAGACGACTCGAAATAAGATGACTTTTGAGTCGGCTCATTAGTTATCACGTGAAAAAGCGGAGCTCGACACTATGGCTCAGATATAAATGGAGCCGAGAATTCTGTAAGACTTTCTGTGCGTACGAAGTCGATCTGCTAAAAAATGCACTTATTGAGTTGCTGTGAAACGCGGATCTGCGTGTACTGATACGCTTGACACGATTCACCTGAACCGCAACAGAGGACACGATTATTCACCCACCTAAAGAGAGGTGCCTGACATGTACTTGAGATCACTTGACGTGAAGATTCACCTGAAAAGCGGTACTTGTAGCATAATCAGCAGCAGCAGCGCCTGGGGAGCGAACTTTTTCAGTCTGTTCCATGCCACCGCCATGATGTATCCGCTGCCTCTGCCTCCTCGGTTTAATAAAAGGTGGTGCCTTGCGAAGCTGTGTCGAAAATGCTAAAGGATGCTGTTTTTGAAGTGTACCGTCCGTTGTACGACAAGGATTGCTTGCTGTGTCCGAAGAAGGGAGGGGTTGGAAGAGAGATGGTCTACGTCCTGAATGTATGAGGAAAATGCAGGATCGAAGCCGAATGAATGAATCAATGCAGGAAACGCCGGATGAAAGCGACTAAAGGGCGGACGGGAACGGTGTCAGGAACGATCTTTCACTGCCCCTCTCTTGCTCTCAGTTCCCATGTAGTCTCCCAAACGGAATATTCGAACCTTGCAGCAAAGGCTTGCTGTTGCGTTTGAATCCCGAATCTGACACCGCGGCAATATCGAGGGGAGCCGAAAGACCCCCACCCCTATCCACTCCACACACGTACCAGTGACAACAACGAGCTTCAAAGGTGCTCAAAGGTGCCTTATGAAAATATCAGATAACAGCATTTCCAGCACTTCATTTTACACAAGGTGATTCCATTTCACACATATGAATTCTACTTAATACGGTGGAGTGAGATAAACAAAAAAACATGTGATGAATTCTTTTAATATTAGTTGACAAACCGGTACTTTAACTATATATGGCATGAAGACATACGAGAATCTTCATTTGCTACTCTGCTACATGAAATCGATATGCTTTAACGAAGCACGCAATAACTTTGTTGTCTGGTGTACGCGATCCCAGGTTTTCGCGCCATCATTGATTGCACCTGACACAATTCTGGGAAGCAAAAAACCATGTCACTTCCCTCGGCTGGCTTCCACCCGAGACTATCAAGCATCGAGCTGCCAGCAGCTTGTGACCGTTTCACGCCTGCTAGTGGAGCCTCGAGATCTCACATACGAGAGTTCTTTTTACCGTCAGAGAATCTTCTTGGCTACTTAGAAATGGGGGACTCGTTAAGACCCAAGGACTTTCGAAAGCTAGTTCAGAGAGTGACTACGAGGTGTCGAGATACGTGCGCCCAGCATGCGGCCGAGCTTTCGGGCGAGCAGGATAAGTCTTCTAACGTAATACCTAAAGCAGCGCAGATCGAGCTGAAGCAACTCTCATCCCGATTAACTTCTGCCATAGACTCCGTTGCTTCTGTTTCGAAATACCAAGGTCTACAGGAAACAGCGTTTCCGGCCTCCGAAGACAACCAGCTTCTAGGTAAGCTAGTGGCGGAGGCAAAGAGTTAAATCCCTTATTTAGATGGATTGTACTCACATTGATTTACTTTGTGTCGGTTCGTGTTTGTACGCAGCGTTATCCAAGGCGCAAGCGGAGGCTCTTGAGTCGGAGATAAAGGAGCTGGCTGTATTAGTAAAGCAGCGACGGACGAAGGCTCTGGAGAAGGTCCAGAATAAGCTGGGAGTTAAGCTAGAGCGACTGAAGAAGTCACAGAAGATAAGGAAACCGTGCGGTGCTGTAGCTGCGAAATGTACACAAGGTATTTCTGTCATTCTGACCGTTTCTTTTTCTTCTTCTCCTTCATTCTTCTTGATTTCTCATAGGTTGATGATTTTGTGTTTGTCATGCCAGCGACGAGCGCGATTCGATTGCGCATGCAGTCCATTCTGGAGCAAGGTGAGGAGACGACGTCCATGGTTTCAGAGGCTGCTAAGAAGGCTGGTTCTATGGCGTCAAGGTTACATAACCTGATTACATCAGCTAAGACTGAAGCAGCACGGATACCCTCAACAAAGGAGAGGCTAATTGCAGAAGAGATGGCAAAGGAGAAAAGCTGCAAGCAATGAGCAGTTCTTATAGTACAGGTATAGGGAGTATGAGTGGGATTGGAGTTGCATGGATTGTACAAACTGGTAGAAGCTAGCAGGTCACGAGATTTAGATTGTTGGTGTTCATATTCAACTCTAGCCTCGAGGCTTTAGTAGGGTTCTTAGCCAACCATAGGCTGGCAAATGCTGGCCACCTCCCAAGTTTATTACAATGCTAAGTTGTGGGGCTTTGTCCTTAAAGGCAGGGTCTCAAGTGACCAAGTGCTTTGCAGTCTATGAAAAACGGGCCTGTCTAATTGGTGTACAAATTTGGGGCCAAAGTTTTGACAAGTCGAGACTCTCCAAAGAGCCCACGTTTCGCCCAAGTGCTTTGCAGTTGCACAGCCAACCCTTACATGAGACCCTGGCTTTAATACACATGGTTTTCTACTCTCTAGTTTTTTGTAATAACTTTGATAGCTACTCTACGGTGTTACAATCATTGGCAAATCACCTTTCTGTTGACGAGTATATTTGGGGTTTTCAGTTGGTCACGCACACTTACTGGAACAATGCGCAAAAAACGCAGTACTGTAGCTTCTGGCGCAGGGTTTCTGCCAGTTTCTTGCTCATCGCGCAGAATTAGCTCCTTTCAACGCATTTCGATGGTCATTGGGCCACATGTTCGAAAATTAGAGGCCAATTGGTTTTACTGTTGTGCGAACAGTAACAATCCAGACCTTTTTTTTACCTGCGCGGAAAAAAAATAACCCGTGAAGAACGAGCATCAACCCGAAACACCCAATTTTATGGTGTTTAGGGTTGATGACTCCCTCGATGCTACCACCGAAAAATAATACACATCGCGAACAATAAAACCGTTTTTTTATGGCATCAACCCTAAACACTTCCGCATTGTGTTTAGGGTTGATGCCTCCCTAAACAACATGCCATCCGATAGGGGTTTATATTTTTGTCTGCCCAAAATGCAGGTGTAGACGGTTCGCTGGCCGTCAATTTAAGCGGAGTTGTCGGTCC